GTGTGTGTGTGTGTGTGTGTGTGTGTGTGTGTGTGTGTGTGTGTGTGGCTCCTGTGGGGAGGAGTGAACCCTGCCTTAATCGTCCTGTGCTCACTCGGAGGGCTTATTTCTGGAACATGGCGTGAAAAGCCCGTATCTCCCCTGTGACTGTCCCTCTGGCTGTGCCTTGTGTAGTTGTGTTTGGTGTATCCACCTCCGCCATACGTCCATAATCCTTGAGACTCACTCTAATAGGGGTAAAACCCAGTGATGATAGCTCCTGTAATAGCCAAGACCATGACTTTAGCATTAATAATACTGAATCATTTAAAGTGATTCAATTGTTCAGAAAAATGCGTTGCATCCGTATTGTTTTTTTAACAATAACCATATGTGCTCACCTGCAGAACTGTGGCCGCCACCAACATGAATGAGACCAGCAGTAGGTCCCATGCTGTTTTCACCATCGTCTTCACACAGAAGAAACATGACAGCGAAACAGATCTCTCCACGGAAAAGGTCAGACGAGACCAGAAAGACAGACATTAACTATTCACACCTAACATGTTTATAACTGACTCTGGTCCCGTGCTGTTGGGACTTCAAGCCCATTTATTAAGTTTGCTCCTTTTTTGATTTCAGCTAAGTGTCTCCTGTGGTCCTCTTTGTCGGTGGTGACCTCCATTTTAGAATTCGACTTTTGGCATTTCCTCTGACTAAGACAAAGGCCACTGTGTTATTCTAAGCACAATGCCTATTGTCTTCAGCTACGCTATCAGATTTTACTGCCTCGCTGCATCCACAAGTTTAAAATGATTTACACTTCAAAAGATATCTATATATTTTAACATTTTTCAAAACATAATGAACTTTGTATTTGGTAGTCAGTGCTGTCATTTTTTTTAGGAATATTCTCATCCTCTCTCAGTTACAATTCTAAAGTAAATTATTCATAAGCTTGATTCATCTAAAATGTATTTTATATTTACTCCCTCTTCAGGTCAGTAAAATTAGCCTGGTAGACTTGGCAGGGAGTGAGCGAGCAGATTCCACTGGAGCTACAGGCACCAGGCTAAAGGTAAGACTCCCATGATCACAGACGGCATTAGCAAACAGTTGATCAGCATTACCTTCATGGCTTTCTAATAATAAAAATCTATGGTTGCAGGAGGGAGCAAACATCAACAAATCTCTCACCACGTTAGGAAAGGTCATCTCTGCCTTGGCTGAAGTGGTGAGTGTTCTCTGTTTTTTTTTCTGTCGTTTTACTGCTTCTCCTCCTTTTCAGCCTTTTTCTCTTACCCTCAAAAACCTGACCCTGTCCTCTCAAGGAATTGGTAGTCTGGCATGCTGTAATGCCTTTCTCTTTTCTCTTCTCTTGTCCCTGTAATGCTTGCAGACACAGGATAACTGTACCAGCAAGGTAAACCCTTTGACGGCTCAATCACTAACCTCTTCATTCCTCCCATGAGGCAGATTTGACAACCTTTTTCCCCCCATGTGCAATGATGAAGCTGTTGCATAGTGTTCCGTCATCACCATTTTATTTTGCGTTTTATCAAGTGCTGTGCTTTTAGGCGTTGTCCTTGCAGTAGAGCAGAAGCTAATCAAATCAGGCCTCTACTCCATTTTACCCGACCTGTCCATGACATATGAGGTGTTTGTCATGGTGCATCATGATATTGTCTTCATGGCCATCCCTAATTTTCATTTTTAAAACAAAAATCTTTATTCCTCCCTGCTCACGTTATGTTTGTTTACCGCAGAGCAAGAAGAAGAAGAAGACGGACTTCATCCCGTACAGAGACTCTGTTCTGACATGGCTGCTGAGGGAGAACCTCGGTATGAACATTAATATCACATGCTAGATATCCTTTACTGGTGGAATTTATGACTGTAACCTGTGTAGCAAGATCCTTATTCCTGGACAGCAGACATGTAACTATCTGTATCCTGTGAGATGAGGTGGGGGTAAAAAAAAAAAAAAAAAAGAGAGAGAGACTGGAGCTAGTGTACATTACTCTCTGCCAATTTAAGAAGAACACTGTCAGCACTGTAATTCAACCTAACTAGACAAACACTTCCATCTCCTTTAGTTCAGTGTATCTTCAATCTTAGCACACATGACACAAGTAGTACTTTGCGGTTTAGTCTAATGAGACTGAAGTTTTGTATTGGTGGAATTACTGTTTCAGCACTAATCTGTCCTATAGTAATGTTTTCTTCCGTGCTGCACACTGCAGTGGAAATCATGTCTAATACCAATCTATCTTGTTTTGGTCTACACACAGTGTGTAAGAAAAAGGCCATTTACACAAATTGTTGCATAATTAACTTCTTTACTGGTCTTTTAATATCAGGTGGAAACTCTAGAACAGCCATGGTAGCTGCCCTCAGTCCTGCAGACATAAACTATGATGAAACTCTCAGCACACTCCGGTAAGGTTTCCATCCAGGACCGAGATGATAATAATAACTTGCAAAATAATTCCGGTTAATTGTTAAATTGTTTTGCATTTAATCCATAATTACATTTATCACTATTACAATTTTTTTAGCTATGCTGACCGAGCTAAGAGCATCAAATGCAATGCTATCATCAATGAGGATCCCAACAATAAGCTGGTGCGTGACCTGAAGGATGAAGTGGCTCGACTGAAGGAGCTTCTCCGTGCCCAGGGTCTGGGAGACATCCTAGACAGTGAGTCTAATGCTATCACAGCAGGCCATATCTGAAGCCACGCAGCTTCTACCTTCTCTCTCAGGGTCTACCACACGCTAGCAACATGTTCTTTGTACTTCACTGTCTCATTTCTTTCAATCCTCCAACTTTGTTTTTATCACTGTGCCTGTATTCATGCCTAGTACATAACTAAAATGACTTTTAAGAACTTTAAAAACCATGATGCTATACTGGTTTATTATGCCTCCTTGCTGAGTATAATGTAGATTTTATAGAATGTATAATATGCACTATAGAACACTACATTCTTAGAATATTTAAGGTTGCATACTGTACAATTTCAAATGATTTAATGAAAATATAAATATTCATATTTGGCTGATTGTGACTGGCAACACAAATGACAGTTAAAAGCTGCATTAAACAATCACACTGTACTCAACAGTAATGGCTAACAGCGAAGTAAATTAGAGAGCTATTGCACCCATAAATAACGTCTAATATCTGAACTACATAATGACTCGTCTGCTTGGATGATGCCTAATGACATGGCACTTAACGAGTCATTACATGCCATTTCTTCTCCTCCTTGTTATGGTTCTTCTCATTCAGCTCACTAAGAAATGTCTGTAACCTTTTCCTCCCGTTCTACTCGTGCTGACCTCTGACCCTTCTCATCTTTTCCTGCTTCCTCTCAGTTGATCCTATGGGAGATGATTGCCCAGGAAGTGGAATCAAATGTGTGTATATGTGTGGTAGTCATGAATTGTCTATCACAATTTGCCCTATTAATAATAGCTACCATTGCTTATACCCCCATTAACTGCATATTTAATCTGCTACCAGCTTTGCATGTAAATGCTAAGAAAAGCAAAGGCGGATAGAAGCAGACTCAGAAATGCCAGGCTTCTGTAGATGTGCTGATCTGGCGTGGGCTAGCATGCCACTAGCTTAGCATGTGTTGTGCTTCAATGATGGGGGTGAGGCAGCTATTCACAGGCTCCAATCCAACTGTATCACAAGTTACTTTTGGAATATCCCTTTTTAGAAACATTACTTTTAGAATAGCTCGTCTGTCTTCCCCACCCCCAAGGCACCCGCACCATTTTATTACCATATCTGTCCTTGATTCACTTTCTCATGCTCCTTTTGTTGACGGTGGTATTTCTGCTTTCTTGCTTTCTGCTTACTAACCATCCGCTGCAGGTGACAGTGCTCAAATCTTTATGGCACTTCTCAGTTCTCAAACTGAGGCTCAGAGCTACAGATGGAAAGGTGCATGATTTTTAATTTCTATGTAGCCGCACCAGAGTGGTACTGTATGTATACAGAGTAGACTAGCTTGATGTGTTACGGTACTTTTTATTAGTAATAGTTAGTTTGCTAGCGTGCTGTATTCTCAGAAATCCCTGATAACTCCTACTTTCCCATTTGCGCTGATAATCTGCGCAAATGTTTTTACCCGAGTTCCTGACCAAAAGCACTTGTATGCGTTTATCCTGCACATTACGTAAAACATTTTGTTACTGTTATCCCACTACGGGCTACATGCTAGTTGAGTAGCTCAGTACGCCTTCCCTATTTTTCTTGAATATGAAAAGCCTCTTTTGCCAGTGTCAGCTGGACACAAATGTCAGCACCTCCCAAATCATTTAAACTCAACTTTTAGTGGCCATCTGTTTTTTTTGTTTTGTAGTTCTTAGAAAGCACAGTCTGTGGTACCACAGAGGTCCTCGAGGCCAGTATGTTGACATGAACTGAGTGACCTTTAGTGGGGCTGCTGTGGCTCCGCTATGGTGGATGTGTGAGTGCACGCTGACTCAAACTACTCAACTGCAGGCTGAACTTACTGGCATGTGTCAGTGACTCTCATCTGTCCTCTCTCTAGATCCTCTTACAGTCTCCCATCCTGTAGTTGATACACTGATGGCAGTTTTCATTAAGTGTGTTCTCATTCAAAACAAAGCCAACAAAGTGGCATCATCCTATTCCTCAAAATTGTACACACTAGAAATTAAGTGCTCGGAGTTAATTGCTGTGCACTGTAATTCTGAAACTTTCTAATAAAATACAAGCTGGAGTTGAAAGTATTTGCTCTGGGCGTTGAAGAGTTGGTGCAAGCAGACTGTATGATGAAAACCACCTGGATGAAAACTGCTTCTCGTTGTCTTAACCCTTTGACGTAAAACGTGTGTCTTACATTGGTCTTCCCTTCCCTTTGTCTTCTCTTTCCCCATCTTTTTCTCTCCTCGATCTCCTCTTATTTGGATCCTCCCTTTTTTGTGTTTTATTCCCCATATCCCATTATTCCCCTGTCCTGGACATATCCCACCTCTCTCTGTGTTGTGCTTTTCTTTCTCTCTCTTTCTCTCCTGCTGTTGGCTCAGACCTCAAAGACATTCAGAACAATAAGCATAGATACTTGATAGCCTCAGAGAACCAACGCCCTGGCCATTTCTCCACAGCCCCTATTGGTTCCCTGACAGCCTCACCCTCCTCTGGCTCGCTGTGTAACCAGGGGGGCCTTCAGTCGGTCACCAGTATCCAGGAGCGCATCATGTCCACCCCTGGAGGAGAGGAGGCTATCGAAAGACTCAAGGTAAAGCTGGCCTGTGTACACTGCAGCAGTCAAATCACACTTATGTCCACCGCTATCTCCCACCCTGCTAAGGCTACTTTCAACTCTTAGTTTTTTGTCCTCAGTAGAGCTAAACGCTGCTCCATGTTGTGCTGTGTGGGGCAACAGGCTGGCTTGTAAATGTTTATGCAAGGCAATGGGCTGAAAGGAGAACTTCCATAATATCTGCATATATCAATATCTCAATCTTCACAACACCAAACATGGAAAACACATTTGTAGTTGTTGATTATTATAAAACAATTATTGTTTAATTTTGTTTTTGTATCTGTCAACAATTTGTTCCCTTCACTGCCTATTACCACAAGTATGTGGCACAGGAGAAGCTTCCCTTGTTTTTGGATATTACAATGATAATATATTTTGATTAACAATTCTTATATCAATTATTGCCACATTGCATAAGAAAATCCCACTTTTATTAAATATTTGAAAAGATGACTCACTAGAGTTAGGGCTGTAGTATTTAGAGTTGTATGCTATAGTAAATATCTGTGAATAGATTGGTGAACTTCATACCAACTTACAATAAAAGCCTCACACTGTAACATTTGTTCAGTAAATTAGAAGTCCATGCGTTAATGTCAAGCCTGCTGTGGTTTAATTTTAGCCCACACATGGGCAGAGCGTGTTTGGAGTAAAGGCTATCGGTCCTCGTGTGGCCACCGAGCGTTGCTTCTCTCACGCTCGCAGTTGACCACAGTAGACCTCTCACTCTGTTGATGAGGGAGCGCAAGCATTGCAACAACCAGCCATGAGGAGCTGCAGTTTCCATGGCAACCACGGTGCCCAGTCGCGTCTGTCATCCAGTGACGTCGAGCACCAACGCAGATGAGGATGAAATTCGACCAAAAATAGATCCGACCTTATTGGCTTTGCGCTTTAGTGAGGCACATAGTATTCCCCTTCTTTGATCCTTAAAGGTGTATGCAGCTATGAAAGTTGACATCAGTGTCCGTATTGCCCAAAGTAACAATTCAGTATGAACTTAAACTAAGATGAGTATATACTGCATTATTAAACCTTTACAGTAGCACATGTCATAAATATTCTCAATACCCAGAAGAACAGCACCAACTGTGAACAACAAGCGTAGCAGCTGTATGGGATTTTTACTTGAGCTTAAAGCAACATTATCAGAGGTAAACTCATAAAGTCATGGTATAGTTTCCATAATATCACAGCAGTATGTTATCTTGCCCCTCTCTGTTTTATGCCTGACTCAAAACTTTCTTTAATGAAAGACAATGTAACCAAGAACGCACATTTGTCGCTAGTATAACAGATGTAATCTCTTTAAAACCAGACTCCTCATACTTTGCCTCTTGTGTTCAGGAATCGGAAAAGATCATTGCCGAGCTCAATGAAACCTGGGAAGAGAAACTGCGAAAGACGGAGGCAATCCGCATGGAGAGGTCTGTACTGGCTCTCCCACCTCTATCTCTCAAGCAGGGAGATGTGTGCCTCCACCCCTCTTTCAATTTGTCTGTGTCCTGTCAGTGCTAGACAACCCCCCCCCCCCCCCCCCCCATAGCTCCGTCTCTGTCTTTTCACCCCACTGTGCTATCTGTCTCACTTCTTTCACCTATCTGTCTCATTTCCTCTGCACTCAATCTGTCTATTTCCCTTCTCTGTTGTCACACTCTGCTGCACAAACACCCTTTTCTTCCCCTTTTTCCACTCATCTGTGGCTGTAGACATCAACCATGTCTGTGCATTGAATCTCACTGGTGCCATTCTCTGCCCGTTGCCATTCCACAGATCACTTACTGTAATGTTGCACACCATCACGTTTCATCCTCTTTACAAAGAAAGTCTTTGTAAGAGATTACGTGCATCATGTGGTCTTTATTGAGTATCATTTTCGAGCCGACAAATGTGTTTCCTTCACTACAGGGAGGCCTTGCTTGCGGAGATGGGTGTGGCAATCCGTGAAGATGGAGGCACTTTGGGGGTCTTCTCTCCCAAAAAGGTAGAAAAGACATGAGACACAAGCACAGACGTTGATGGAGAACGGCTGTGTCAAATTTCCCATGGGTGATGCACAGCCTTCTATCTCACTTCTGTTTCCTACGTTGTATTTTTCCATGAGCACCCTCCCTCTACCGTCACTGGTTTCTCTCGTCTGCTCATCTCATCATTCTGTCTGTCTTTCCACTCTGTTATTTGCTTCTTTCACATACTCAGCTTAGCCATGCAAGCCCATTTGATGAACAGCTCGATTGTTTTCCAACCAAGAAGGTTTGTTAAATTGAATTAGAAAACAAAGTGCCTTTCCTGCACTAGATTAAGTAGTGGTTCTAACATCATAAGTGTGCTTATTTCCATGGTCAGAGTTTCCCCCATGATCACCGCACCAGTTGCACAGATCTGCATTTTGTTTAAATACTGTGCGGAGCAACTACAGTTAATTCTCCCCCTCCATGTTTAACTATAATCTGAGAAATACAGCACAGATAAACACACCCATACCTTCGCACAACCCTGCGGGAAGTTGCCGCGTTGCCAGATTTTGAATGAATCCTGCCGAAGGACATGCTTCATCATGTTCTATATGTGTGTGTTGAAAGAGAGGAGCAGGGGGATCACTGGAGCACATTAAAACACCAAGCAAAGTAACCAACGTTTTCATCCATCAGATACGGACAAATTGTATCTGACAGAGCTAAAGTGGGCCGGTATCAGACTCAGGGAGGCGTGACAAAGCAGCAGTATTTGATGACTTCAACGGGCTGCACACCGTGCACACTGTTATTAACTGGGGGCTACAACCCCACATGGGGCCAAAAGGGTCTTTGCCGATGCCCAGAAATGTCCCGAACACAACAAAATAAGAAGAAATACAGGCAAGGGCAGGGTCTCTCTAGATACAGACACCACCACACACTTCTAGTGGTCATAAGTGATGATTGAGAAGGATTATTTTGTACGAGTCTTCACATTGGGTTTTTTTTTAAGAAAATTCTCCGATAATGTAACTTTTTAAAATAAGGAGTTCATATTTACATTCTATAAATTCAATTGTACACAGACTACTTAAATCAAGGCTTGTCTTTGAATATTACACTTGGCTCTAAGGAGATTATTCAAGCGTTTCCTTTAGCGGTCGGTGCATTCCCCTCACTCTCCTTTCCTCTACACAGTAGACAAAGTGCCGCGTGGCAGCAACATGGAGGCCAGTAGATGTGTTGGTACAGGCTTCTGAGAAGAGGCACGATAGGGATGAAAAGATAACAAATCTCTGTCACAGACTGTTTGGAACTAGCTGTCACTAGATCAGCTGTGATTCCCCTCTTTGAAATTAATCCCTTTTAGGCATGTTTAGATCTCCCTCCTCTGCTGCTAATTGATGTTTTTTTTTAGGTTTTTCTCCTTCACATCCAGTTGTCCTCCATTCATTCTTTTTTTTTCTCCTTTCACTCACTGCCGCTCAATGGGTTAGCATTTTGTTGAGAAGCCTTGCGATCTATATGCTGACTTTAATGGGGTGTTTTCCCCAAAAAAGGTTGGTGGCGTGACGGAGTAGCTGCTAGCATTAGTTGTAGCGATGCTGTGATGTATCAGACTCTAGAGGTTTTAGTGCTGTGTCAATGAAACTATTTCTATCCATGTTCATGTATCACTAATCATCATCAGTGTTTGATTTTATACTATGCCCATTGCCCACTTGATTAAAAGTTCTAGTATTGGGATGTATTTCCGGCACTGCTGGATATTGATTAAAGTAGAAATCCTAGAAGTGCTTTTGCGGTAAACTGTCTACCTCTTATGTTTCATCTGTAGACTCCCCACCTGGTGAACCTGAATGAGGATCCTCTCATGTCAGAGTGTCTGCTCTACTACATCAAAGACGGAATTACAAGGTAACCAAAACCTGAATGACGACACTGAAATGCTGCAGAGGATATAGAAAGGTTTTTGAATTTCTTCCATACAGTATCTCACTAGTATCTGAACTACTACTCTGAAAGTTGTTCTTGCTTAACATCAAAAGAGGGAAAATGAAATTCAGAATCAGGGCAAACTGGCTTTAAAGCACAAAAGGTTTTGCTGTCTAAAGTTACTTTCCTTTTGGCCCCCTCTGTAGAATATTCATGTTGAGTGTTTTGTTACAATCGCGCCTCTGAGAAACAATAATAGATGACAGAATCACAGACGAAGGAATGTATAGTGCTTTAGAAGTGGTGTCTTCCAAAAGTATGGTTTTAAAGGTTCCATTTAACGTCTGCCTCTGACTTTTTGACAAAATGGCCACCAATACAACGAGAGGGCAGTGTTCACTCTCTCAAAATGGCCTCTGACTATTTCAGGGTGGGTCAGGCTGATGCTGAGAGACGACAGGACATTGTTTTAAGTGGTGCTCACATCAAGGAAGAGCACTGCATCTTCCGCAGCGAGAGGAATGCCAATGGAAATGGTGAGGCACCCAAATTATGAGTTTGCCTTGGCTTATGTGTATTGAGTATCTGGATTGTTTTGAATTAAGCAGCGTTGATAGCATAGTTGGTAGAACCTTTCCTGCTCTGATTTAAAGAAAAATACATGTAACTCCTAATTACCTGCAAAGAAAAAATGAAAAGCAACCCCAGGCTTTGTGAATGTGACAATAGATGACATTGCTGCATAAATATACACTAATGGAAACATAATGCCCTAAATGTCAGCAATCGCTTCAAACTCTGCATTAAATATTTATCCTTTACCATTTGAAAATGAATGTTGATGAGCTTCTGAGACTCAGAATGTGTCACTGATGATTTGGTTGATGTGTTTTTGGTGAAGTTGTCGTCATGCTGGTGCCCTGCGAGGGATCAGAAACCTACGTCAACGGCAAACGTGTTGAGGATTCCATCCAGCTTCGTTCAGGTGTGCATCTCGTATTTGCAAATAAAGTTGATACTTGTATTATCTCTGAAGGCCGTCATGAGATGACTGATTTCCTAATAACTACAGATAATTGAAGGCATGTAATGGTGTTTTCCTGGGGCTTCATAAATCATAGTTGTACAATGTGGCTCTTGACACCGCTTGTGATGCTCTAGCTTAAATACAAAAAGCATAATGAAAAGAAAAGTTGGATCTCTGACATTTACACTGTTCTATCGGCACAGAAGGGACAATGTCTTTGGTAATTTCATGCTCTCCATGCTTATTTCTAACCCATCGTCTTTCAGGTAACCGCATCATTATGGGAAAGAACCACGTGTTCCGGTTCAACCATCCAGAACAGGCCCGAGCTGAAAGAGAGAAAACGCCAACTGCTGAAACCCCCATAGAGCCGGTGGATTGGACCTTTGCGCAGAGAGAGCTTCTGGAGAAGCAGGGCATCGACATGAAGCAGGAGATGGAGAAAAGGTACGCAATCCATCCCGTTTGCTGTATTCAAACGAACTTCTAATAGTGACTGATTTGTTTATGGATTGCACAGTACATCACGAATTGTGGAATGTATTTCACAATACATTTTGCTCATTTATTATGTAGGCTCACTGAGATGGAAATCTTGTACAAGAAGGAGAAGGAGGAAGCAGACCAACTTCTGGAGCAACAGCGACTGGTGAGTCCAAATAAGCTGGATATTAATCAAACCCACTTTTTGATTTTTATGAATTGTTTTGTGTAATCAACATGTTAGACGTTGTAGACAAGTTAGAAGTAAACTGCAGAGTGGGTTTAATAGATATTAAGCCGTACTTCATTTCATGCCTTTTGTTAAGCTATAATTAAAAGCAGCTTCTTGAGTGATTCAGCTAATTTGTTATATTTTATGTGTGACTTTGATTGAAATGTCATGAGTGGAATTCAAAGTTAAAGCATGGTTCTTATATGGTTAAGTACAATTGGAAAGCTAGTTTTTGGATATTAGTTTCACTCGGTCCATTTGAGTCTGACTAGTACTAATTCTCACTCTGAGCTCTCACACTTTTGAGGTGTGTGTGTGTGTGTGTGTGTGTGTGTGTGTGTGTGTGTGTGTGTGAGAATCACACTTTTCCTAGCGCATGTCTGTTCTTCTTGCATGGAAGGTTTTCTGGTTTGAGACAAATGAGCTTTTACTTGCCTTCCTCTTGGGTTTAACTGATTTTTCTGTAGCAATTTGATTAATTGAGAATTAGATTGTAAAGCTTTTCCCCTTTCCAAATCCCTGTATTCACTTTTCTTCTGTAGTTTACCTGAATCTTGCAAAACAGCAATTTACAGCTAAAGTTGATTTGATACCAAGATCCAAAGTGATTTTAAATTGATTGAATATTGTTCAGTAACACTTTGAAACACATTGCCTTGTTTTATATAAAGTCGTGCTGCTTTTGCATGGTTCATGTTAATAGCATGTTTTCTTAACTCATTCAGTACTGGTTCTGAAATAAGTTGCAGTGTTTGCTGGTCAGCTTTGAAGTGGCTGTTGATTTGCTTGGATTACATTTCTACTCTAGTTTTCTTGCTCTGTTTTTATCCTGAGTTTCATCTCTTCAATGCAGTTGCTGACATGTACAATGCATTGTGATAACAACAATTCCTGCTGTAGTTCTTTGACAGATAGTGACAATGTGGTTTCTCATTGACTTCTTTGGCTACCTCATTTGCTAGCCTTTGCGGTGTCTGTGTAGAACACTGAGAGCACGACTCAACAACAGCGTTATCACTGCTTAAAGTTGAATCATTGAATCTCTGACCTCTTCCATGCTCTGCTGGTTTTATGTGCAGAGTTAGAGGCATTAGGGGTTCAGACTCCCAGCAACATAATATGTCCAATTCTAGCCATAGATACAGTATCATACACGAGACCTGACTATCTGTACCACGTGGTTGTGATCTGTAATGTACTTTGTCTACAAAAATGAGAAACTGCATTCTTTTTCCAACTAACACCTTTCTTGTAGTGGATTAACACTTACCCTCACTCCTGCCTCTCTCTCTCTCTCTCTCTCTACTGGCTTTCTGATCAACTGCAAGAACACACTTCTAACTCACTGCTAATACTACAGCCACTGAAACCTTCTGGACTAAAGAGAGAAAGTTCCAAAATGCATCTACATGCATGCCACTGTAGCATGTTTGGAATCCAGCTTTCAAATCACAAAATTTTCAATTAAGAAGAGGAATATTACAAAACAATACGAAGTGCTCCAATCAGCAACTATCCTGTATTAATATTTCTTTTCTAATCATTCTAGACATGCTTTACTTTATCTATATAAATGTGCAACATTGGGAACAATATTGTTGAAGTCCCTATTTCTGAGATGTAGAAAGCCTACTTTTGACAACAAGGAATGTTTTAATTCATTTATTCGTATCCATATCACAATTTCACTAGAAAAAACATGACGATGAAAAAAATGACAAGCAAGAAAGTCAATGAAAGCCACTGTTTGTTGGATTTTATTTTACTATCTTTATTTTGAGCATAATTCTGGATGGATGGATTCTGCACGTTGCCATACATCTTATGATGTATGCACATAAATTAGACATTATGACAGTGCAATAGTCATTTTTGGTAAATATCCCATAATCCTTTAAATTCTGAACCTAAATTCTGTCCAAGCTGATGTTTTATGTTCTGATACAACCTCAACTTTCCTCATAGTTGAAGTTCCCATGTTGCATATTCATAACTTTTTTCATTCTTTTAAAAAAGAAAAAAAAATCCTTTCATCTTCTCTTTGATTTCCCATTTTAATTTCTCCTTTTTTTTTGGGAACCCTTTGGTTTGTTTCCTGTGTTGTTTTCTCAAGGATGGAGACTCTGATAGTGGGGATGACTCAGATAAGAGGTCTTGTGAAGAGAGCTGGAGACTGATCACTTCCTTGAGGGAAAAGCTGCCACCCAGCAAGCTACAAACCATAGTGAGAAAGTGTGGATTACCCAGCAGTGGGAAGATAAGAGAGCAAGTTAAAATGTACCAGGTCCCTCAGCGGCGTCGCATCACCAAGGACTCCAAGTGGGTGACCATCTCCGACCTCAAAATCCAGGCTGTCAAAGAAATTTGTTATGAAGTAGCGCTCAATGACTTCCGCCAAACACGGCAGGAAATTGAGGCACTGGCCATCGTGAAGATGAAGGAGCTTTGCGCTAGCTATAGCAAGAAGGACCCCAACGAGCGGGACTCGTGGAGGGCAGTGGCTCGGGATGTTTGGGACACTGTAGGCGTTGGTGATGAGCGCATTGAGGATGTCATTACCAATGGGGCTCGACCAGGAGTGGTTGTTATGGATGACCTGAAGGTGCACATTGATAAACTTGAGGACATCTTGCACGAGGTGAAGAAACAAAACAATATGAAAGACGAGGAGATCCGTGCTCTCAGGAACAAGATGGTCAAAATGGAAAAGGTCCTTCCGCTCATCACCCCGGAGATCCAAGAAAAGCCTCATGTAGGCACTTCCACTTATGCTGCCACAACTCCAGGCCCTCGAGAAGCAAAACCTCCTATGCCTGAAAAGCCTGATGGAGATGATGTCAATGCACAAATAGGCCAAAGTACAGGCGATGACTCAACCCTAAAGCGAGGCCACATACGCTGGATGCGTCAAGAGCAGTTGCGCCTCAAGAACCTTCAGCAACAAGAGATCTCCAAGCAGCTCCGCCGGCAAACTGGACCACACCGCTTTATACCCCCAGAAGATCGCAAGCTACGCTTCCCCTTCAAAAGCAACCCTCAGCACCGCAATTCATGGAGCCCTGGTACTCATATCATAATAACAGATCAGCAGGTCGTTGAGCTAAAGGTGCCCAAAGAAGCTGTAGAGGAAGAAGAGGGAGAAAGCCAGGCTGGAGATGGACTGCAGTCTAGAGAAATGATGGCTGCTTCACTGATCCAAGTCACTCCCCCATTGCCAAGCCCATCAGTCCAGTACAGGAGCAAAGACTTGGAGCAAGGTTTAAGCCAGGGTCACAGACACCACTATAGGAACAACCAGAACCAGCAGCCCCATGAACGAAGCCGCAGCAACTCTTTTAATCACCGCCAGCGGCCCTCTGGCTCCATGGAGTCACTGCAGCAGTCTGAAAGCAACAGGAGGCACACGCAAGCTTTCTACCAGCCCCGCCACCACCAGAGCCAGCCAGCACATCCCCAGCAACACCATCACCATCAGCCTTTCCATCATGATAGCATGGTGTATACAGATGGCAGATTCAATGGCTACCAGCAGTACCATCACACTGACCACGCTAACTATCCAATCAGCTTTCAGGCACCTCCGCGAATGCGCAGGCAAATGTCTGCTCCCAATCTAAAAGCCAGCAGAGAGACGGCAGTCTGAGTGGGAACTTGTGGAAACAGGAACTAGTTTGATACACTTTTGGTAGGCAAACTCATTACAGATCACAACAGCTCAGAATCATGTGACTCAAACAGCTCAATCCGATTGTGACTTTTGCACTTGATCAGTGGGTTATTGGTTGATCCAAAAGTATTGTATGTATTATAAGAAGACATTTTATCATTATTATAATATATGCCATTTTATCAGTTTTTGCTACATTGTGTGCGCTGTCATCATTAGCATTGGGAGAGCTGTCGCAAGGAATTGAAGCCAACAGATAATAAAGGGACTTTTTGGGGGGGTGGGTTGTTTTGTTCTGAAGAGACACGTCATGCCCACTCTGCTCATTTTTCAGCATGTGTGACAATTCATCAATCATGCTTTTATTTGCCAAAATTATCTTCATGGTTAAATTTCTGAGTTTACATCTTTGTCATTTTCGTCTTGATTTGTCATGAATGCTTTAGCCACTACAGTACAAACACACTAAAGTGCTTATTTTCATCAAGACTTTTGTTGATATTTTTGCCCAAATTAGGAACCTAGACCCTATGTCTGTCTTTCTTTCTTTCTATTTAACATGAAACTGAATCTGTTTTCTTTGCAGTTATACATTTTGTGTTGTACCTCTTAAAACATGTTCTTTTATCAATCACTATTGGCCTAGATCTGGAATCAAAACGCCAGTATGTTTGACATTTTGAAATTGATTATGGAATAAGTTGATGCACTAGTCAATTACATGACTGCCTTTTTTAATAGACTGAAATAGTGGTTTAAAGAAAGTGGTAACTACATTAATCCTGTTGTGCATTTAAAATTCAATAATTCCTTTCCCCTCTTTTTAATTAAACACTCGTGCGAAACTGGCAACCTTCATAACTTGCTTAACCAAATAAACTTTTTAGTAATAACATTTATTCAAATTCTTAGTAGGCCACTTTATTGCTTTTTATTTATTTTTTCATTTCAAATATATAACTGTCACATAATTGTATTTCAGTACTTTGCACTTCCTCAAGTCATTGATAATTAGTTAGTGAAGACACTAATTTTAATTTTTTTTTTAAGTTAATTAATAATGCTATCCTCTCTCAGAATCCTGGAGTTGACTAAATACACTATCAAATGTAAGAACCACTATGCAGAAATGATAGAACAACGAAAATCATTTTCTGTCTTGCTGTATAAACCACACACTACAAACTGATCTCTGATTCCCGTGTCATGCGGTCTTCACTGAGTAAAGCACAGAGTTCTCCGTGTTACGATTGGATGCCCTACAGAGTGTTGTCATGGCTCCATCAGATGCGCCTTAAAAAATGTTGGAGGGAGGACAGAGACTTGAAGCGTTTGCATAATGTTGTTTGAGAAAACTATCCATTTTAGATTTTTTTTAAGGCTGCCTTGTTTTTGCTGCATCAAATGCCACATACTCAAGAAACCCTGATGGATCTATCGGAATGATGGTCTATGAAATCAGTTGTTTGCTTCTATGCTATAGCTGATGCGTATTTGAATTAGCAGCAAGTCTGCCTGTCAATCTGTCTTTTCCTTTATGCATTTTATAGCTTTAAAATAACCCATTAATGTTCCAGATGGCCTTTAAATCCTTCTAGAGGAACAGTGGCACTTGGCAGCATGAAAGACTATTGCGGACTGTACAAATGTTCAGCTTTTTCTGTGTTTCTGTGTTTTATACTAATACTTTTGACAGTATATATTCTGCCGTACTATGCTGTAACAAAAACCAAATGATATAATGACATATGCAAGTCCAGTTCTCCATCTTACGCCTCATGTCTTTGACTATCTTTGCATGCGATAGCCTACATTTCTTCATCCCTCATAAATGCTCCATTAAAGAATGTTATTTAAAGTATGCACTGGTGCTGGTGGCGACCAGGTAAGCTGGAAAGTATACAACATCAAATGGACAGTGTACAGTGTACTGTTCTCATGAAATATACATATATGTCTGTGTTAGGGCGCAACTCAGAATGTCTGAGTGTTGTACATCTGGTTTTTTTTTTTTTGAACCTGCAATATCAAGTGCCTCATTGTGGCTGTGTACCAAGTTGTGTTACTCCTTAATCAAGCACTTTGTGCAAACATACAGTGCATAGGTGAACAAGACAAGGATATACTGAATCCCTGTGTAGGATTTTCAAAATATGACTGAAATAAAATGACCTGCTCCAAGTACACCTATTTGTTACATATGGTTGGTATCTGTTTTTCACTGCCAAATAACCAGTTTAGGGACAGAATCAGATCTCTGTATGTGAGCACTACACAGGAGTGTCCTTAATATAAGTGTAAATTAATTAGTGCTGGGCAACGATTAAAATATTTAATCGCATGGATTTTTTGCGATTAATCGCATTGTTATGGCAAAGTTCAATAATGAATTCAAAAGTAGTGTATTGCGCACTTTTATTTTTAAAGTACTGCTATATGAACAAAAGGGCAATAACATTTGGTTCACGAGATGCAGGTAGCATGTTTTATACTTAATGTGAATGTAATTCATACTTTGTTGGCATCTTATTCTGAAAACCGGATGTTCGTCTGAAGAAACCGGATGTTGTCTCATGTTAATCTTTCCACTAACTTTCAAAGTCCTTCGCTCGCTCCCGATCTGTGCCGTTTAAATTGCGTTTACCTTGAATTTCAGCATATAGGTGCACTACAATTACTGACTATAGGATGTTTGCTGGCTTTTATCCCACTGTTCTTGTCATCCTCTTGTTGTTATGTATATGTATTGTCTCTTGTCTTTCAATTAACAAAATAATTATAATAAATTAAAAGAATGCGTTAACACGCGATAAAATAATTGTCGGCGTTAATTAATGAATGCGTTGACTCAAAATTAACGAGTTAACTTGCCCAGCACTAAAATTAATATAGCTACAGTTTTAAATTGTGATTTCTAAAACATTCAATTTAAAGCTATCCATCTACAGATTTGTACCCATATGCAAAAAGCCTTATTAGCCATTTCTTATTACTGTTATTTAATACTGCATCATGACAATGTCACACTTATACCTGCAACATGGGATGGTGATGAAAGTTGGATTAGTTGGCATTTGCTTCATTCCATTATCAAGATTTTAGGCATTGCAATTAACCTTTGCCATCCTTCAACTTGTTTGTGAATTTGAATTTTTAGGTTTTGAAACTGCTTCATTCACATGGTGCATTATGGTACACACTGTTACAGTAGTACATTCAGTAAAAAATTGCTTCCTGGATTTCCAATTGTTTTTAAATGGAGAGAATTCAGCTTTCAGCTTGTTGGCAGGATTTCAGCAGGGAGGAGGTTAATGACAAATGAAAAGGCTGCATTGTCTTCCCAGAAGACACTGAACAAACGGGATGAGGTCACCGGGACCACAGCCTGTCCTGCTCTGATGATGATGGCGCCCCTCATTGGATTACAGTTGACTCGGCCTCTACCAGCAGCACCTATCCTCTTCCATCCATTCCAGCTTTTTCCAACATATTTCATTGTGTCATTAAGTTATATTTCCAGAACCTTTTATACAAATTTTAGAAGAAAGTGTTTTCAAAAGGTGAAAGTTTTTCATTCATTGCATTGGCTCAAGAATTGGGCTACCCAATTCATTTTTGTTGAAAGTAGAAATTACAATAGTTTCTTGTAATAGTTTGCCTTTTTTGACCAAAACAATTACATTTTTTTTCAGATTTTTAGTTATGTTTTATGTATATTATTACACGTATTTAGGAAATTTTGAACCCATCTTCATGTCTCTTTGTTTATACATCCAGCTGCATGTGTATATATCCATGTGTCATTTGGACCAGTAACCAAAGGGTTCAGTACCCTTCTTTAATGTATAAATAAAACTGGTAGTATTGACTGTCAAAGTGAAGACTATTCAGTTATTCTCACATAATAGTGTGTATTTTGGCTAGCTAAGTTCACCGGTTGTTGCGGCTGATGGAGAATTGTCCATGTTCTCTTCCTTCGTCCCTGTGTGTTGGTGTCCAGGTGTACGAGAGCAAATTGCAGGAACTTCAGAAACAGGTGGAGACTATTTCTCTGGTCGCTGAGACACCTGATGAAGAAGAGTTGGAGGAGGATGAGGAGGAAGAGGAAGGTGTGTACTGCAAATCTTCTGTCCTGCAGATATTTATCTACTTCATGTCTTTAAGCCCAATACATATAGTTTATATATATCTATATTTAATATATACAATTATATAATCTAATAATGCACTGAATTTTTTTCTTCCACACTCCTATCCAGAGCCTAAACTTCTGGGATGTGCGTATAGTATTTCTTGTTTTATAGAAGAATGTAATATCAACTTCATTAAAATGTGTTAATATTACCATACTAATTACTCATTCAATGTATTAAGTGAAACTAGTCCATAAGTATCCTCTAAAATAAAACGTACTACTAATGATAAAACAGTTTACTTTTACTCTAAAGGACCATACTTATAGTTTTTCATGTTTTAGAAGAAGGGCAAATGTACTTTTTTTTTTTTTTCTGTCTCTGACTTGATTGATGATAAAGTCCGAATTTACTCCTATGTCGTTAAACATTATTGATTTCACCCAACCTTTAAAAGCATCAAAATTATTAATTTAGACTTTATGATTTTAGAGTTATCTCATCCATCAAGGTGATGTGTTTAGTCAAGATAAAACTATTCACTGGAATACAGTTGTTAATCCAGCTGAGAGCAATAGCGGGTTCTAATCCTGTGTTTTGAATTTTGGTGATGGGGTAAACTTTTCTTTGCATTTGGTTGACTGACTGTGGCTTATACAAGAAACAACACAATGTCCCCTCCCCGTTTGTCTTCTGGGTTTTATTTTCCTAAAGCAGTGCTTGTGAATTTAATGCTTTTGTGCAGCTGACTGTAAATTCTGATCTTGGAGGTCCCTGAACACATCATAAAAATATTTTCAGCACAGGCACTGCTTGCAAGAAATATTGACTCAAAATACGCCATATTCCACATGATGGATTACCTATAATTACAGGCATTAATGTAAAGTGTGTTTGTAGTTTGACAAAATAAGTAAAACCACTGGTATGGTCCTTTTTGGTTATATTGGTCCCTTTTTGGTTATATGTGCATTAACTGTGTGTGTTTATGTGCATGTTAACATCACCCGTGTCTCCTCTTTCCCTGCAGTGCCGTGGACTCAGCACGAGTTTGACTTGGCTCAGTGGGCTTTCAGGAAGTGGAGGTACCATCAGTTCACCTCCCTCCGTGACCAGCTGTGGGGGAACGCCGTCTACCTGAAGGAGGCCAACGCCATTAGTGTAGAGCTAAAGAAGAAAGTAAGCAAAAATTATCTTAGTGTATTGTAGTTTAAAATTGGTTAAAGGTGGGTTTCCAGCTTAGAGACTAAAGAAAACATTATGAGCTTCTGAAGCACAAAACAGAAGAGACCTTAGTTTACTGAAATGCCTAAAAAACAAAATATTAAAATGTGAAAAAAAACATTGGTGACCAGGGGAGGGGGGAATGAATACAACTTTTGTGTACAGGATGATGTAAAATAGTGATCCTAAATGTGGTCTTGTACTCGCCTGGCAGACACATTTACAGAAGCGAATCACCCTCATAGCCATTGAACATCAAGGTTCTGAGATGTTCAGCTGTGAAGCTACATGAAGGCGTGATTATGTCGTGCTAGTGATTTATTTATCTGGTCACTCATTTTAAAACACAATATGTGTTTGTGCAGAAGGCACTCCTTCATATCTCCCAGAGCGGGGTGTTGACCCATTGTCACTTAGAGAAATTGGATTTGTTGTGAATCAAAAGCTGGTCTGCGATAGTCCACCTTCTCCACTAGTAGACCAGTGTGATTTATCTTTTCGTCTCGGTGCGCAACATGATTTTCAGAGGATTGTTTTTTGTTTTTTTTATCCTTGGGCTTCCGTCTATAATTTATATCCAGTGCTGTTAATTGGTTTAGCATTTTAAAGGATTGAGGATGATTGAGAGTGAGCATTTTGCCCCCAGAGGATGTTGGGAAAAGAGAGCCCACAAAATGGAGGGAATTATGAATATGTTGATCTTTCAACCTTAGTATGTCTGCTGTTAGTTAAAACCATGCCAGGAAGACTCTTGAGTCTTGTAATTGACAAACAAACTTGAATAAAGGTTCAGAGCTTTAGGTCACGAAGCTTCAAGTCAGAATGGATTCTTCTGCCCTTTTTGACTTGGCTTGATGTTTTTTTTTATACTCTTTGTTTATTCTTCCCTTTCCAACCACCTCTCCCATTCTTCAGGTCCAGTTCCAGTTTGTCTTGCTGACAGACACTCAGTACTCTCCAGTACCCCCTGAGCTCTTGTCCCCAGAGTCAGAGAAAGAGCGTGACTCCAGGCCTTTCCCCCGCACCGTGGTGGCCGTAGAAGTTCAGGACCTGAAGAATGGAGCCACGCACTACTGGTCCCTCGATAAACTCAAGTAATGCCATCTTCATACCAAAATCCAGTCCTGGTTTTAGTCAGATGCGTTTAATATTTAAATACATAGCCAGTGAAAGTGCAGCATGTCATCTATTATGCACGTTTTCAGAAATCATCAGTCACTACAGTCTGTTGTGACATCATTTCTCATGCCTTCAGTACCAGAAACAATTGTACAAAAAGTACAATGAATTGAATGAATGAGCCGGACATATCTACATCTCCTCCCTCCATCCATTAGGTGTGCCGTGTATTCTCTTTCTGCCTCTCATTAATGTTAAGTGCACTGTACTTTGTTGTCATTTGCAGACAGAGGCTGGAACAGATGAGAGAGATGTATGACCGTGCTGGAGAAATGGCCTCCGCAAACCAGGAGGACGGCGATGGCACTATGACCGGAAATGACCCCTTCTATGATCGCTTTCATTGGTTTAAACTTGTGGGGAGGTACGTAACGCAATTACAGAAAAAGTACAGACGATGCTGCATAACGTTACTGTAGTTTGCCACCAAACATCCTGTTTGAATACTATTTGTTGTGCTGCTTGTTTCTAAAACGTTTTGTTTTTGAAGCTTTATTTGAAACGGGTTCATGCATTTCCTTCCGTTCCATTTTTCATTTTCATGGTCAGATTATGTTTGACGGATTTAGAGTCATGTGTATCAGTGGTATCGCATGTTTTGGAATCATTTATGTTTGGTTTTATTTTGTTGCTCATCTTTCACTGTATATTTTGTTATGTTTATAATTTGATGTTACATTTGTGACTGTATTTGGTGTTCTTAATTTCATGTCACTTATACTCAGTATTTCTTTGTGTATTTGTTCATTTTATTCGACATGTTGTTTTGTTTGTTTTTTTAATCATAAATTGTGTCATTTTCATGTATCTGTTATTTTGCGGTGTCTGTTGCCATTCTCATGTTGATATCCCTTCCAGTCCAAAAGCTTGTGAACAACATAGTGAATTTAGATAAAGTGGAAATTTGTAGCATTTTGTATTTGATCCTCTTGTGCCGGCATACATTAGAAGATTTATATGTAAATCCTTTTAAAGTGGCATTTCATTTTAGTTTCTATAAATTGCTGCAACACCTTGCAGCTTATTGTAATACCAGCTCTTTATTAAATGAATCATTCTGTTGCATTTGCAGAAGCTTAAAAAAAAATACAATTCTCAATTTTATTTGGTTTAGCTGACTCAAATAACCACGAGGTAGAAGAAAGTAAGCGTGTGCCATCTTTACGAATCAATGTATGGCTACTGTTGGTGTTTGATTACTTTGCAACTCAAATGTTACAAAAAATGTTCATATTTTATTTGTTGTAGGAAACTACCAAACAACATGCCATTTGTGAGAAAACAATGTCAAAGTGAAATATCACATCTTCAACTTGAAGTCTCTTTAACTCTTCTATTACTCCATTGTTACCTTTCCTTGGTTTCTTGCCACTGTTCCCAAACTACCAACCCGCTCAGCGCTCCCATCTTCCACGGTTGTGTTAATGAGCACCTGGTTGACCGCACTCCCTCGCCGACCTTCTCCACCACTGACTCCGAGATCACAGAGCTGGCGGACGAGCGACAGAGCGAGATGTCCGACTTGATTGATGATGAGGCTTTTGTGGATGACACCAGCTCAGACGCCGGCACCGAAGAGGGCTCCGACATCTTCAGTGACGGCCAGGATCCCTTCTATGACCGCTCCCCCTGGTTTATCCTGGTGGGAAGGTTGGTGACTGTGCAGTTGGCATTACCGCATCCTCCACACACAGGCTGGAACAGGAGATTGGGCGGATGATGGCTTGGTTTAGGGTTTATTTTTAAATACACAATTAATGAGTGCAGGTTAGAAAACACTTCCTGTAAAAAGTATGAAAGAAAACTCATGTAAATGGATGAATTAATTCAGTGCAGTGAATGTCTATGGAGATGTTAAAATAGATGGACAGACTAATGTTGCACCCAATAGGTGTTCAGTAGACATTTAAGTATGTAAGATATACAATATCATTTTACATATTATCTTGGTAGCTGGCAATTCAGAGTCTTAAGAAATGTGAGCAAATACTCGAAGCACATCCCTTATTAATGATCAGTAAAGCCCTCCTTGGTGAAAGAATATTTTCAGAATCAGATCATGTATTCATAGTGGCTTTGCAGAGATAAATTGGACCATTTTTGAATTTAATATGATTAGTCATGCTTCTGTGCTCACAGGCCTGCTTTGTATGAGTTACTTTTAATTCAGACTGTTTCCAAAAATTGAAAAGCCACCATCCTTTTTTTTCCCTCCACCTCCTACCAGCGTGATGTCTCATCCCCCGCCACCATCACAGTGCTGACTGTATTAACTCCCATCTTTGTGTGAACTCCATGTATTTGCTGTGTCTAAGTTGATTAGCTGTCATTTTATTTTATTGTTAAATCCGTAAAACCTTTTTATTTTTGTTTTTTTTATTTTATTTATTACATTGCATAAACATTTGTTTGTATAACCTTGTTTGTTTTAACATTGCTTTTGGAAATTATGGTAGATAATATTAACTCACTGGTAGTTAGTTGACAGTCACATAATGATGCTTTATTAGTGTTTGTTTTAATTGCCATTGTCAAGACACAATAATATGCTGCAGTAGCATTTGAAATCACAGCACACGTTGTACCAATGCTGTTGCATCAGCGCCGTAAACGTCATCGCTGAGTAATAGACGGCGTGTGCCAATCTTAGATAAATGCCGGCTGCAAGCCGACCAGACTCCGCAACAGCCGTAGCTCAGCCACCTCGTCACTGTGACTTCAGAGATTCTACAGATTGATCTCTTTACTCCGCCTTAGCCTTGAGTCTCTTAGAAGAGGGAGAGGGGCAAGGAGGGGCAAAACAAATCAAGCCCTTCAGAACAAAGTGTCAGTAAGTGTGTGAGTAAGAGACCAACATGCACATAATACGACACAATAAACCACTTTTTTTACAGCCTTTACTGCTGAACCCCAGGTGATCTGTCATCACCCCGTTGTGCAGGTTAAAAAATAAAGTGGATGGTTGAAACTGCTTCTGATTTCAGTGCTCTGGAGCAGTTATGATTTATGTTAAATTTTTTCTTCTTTGTTCTGTTTTGGCCCTTTCCTTAACATAATTGTCACTAATGTTTTACTGCATGATATAGTAGTCATTAATATATGCTATTGTATGCTGGATAATGTAGAGCTATCAGAAAATAGTCTCTCTGTGACAACTCGGATATCTTTGAATAAGTAGATATCTAATTGATATATGTATATATATATATATGTGTGTGTGTGTGTGTGTGTGTGTGTGTGTGTGTGTGTGTGTGTGTGTGTGTGTGTGTGTGTATATATATATGCACACAGATTATAAAGTTCTCTGGATCCAAAGACGGCTGTTGTTTCACGCTGCACCAGAATCGGGTTTTCATGTCTCTCATCCCCTCTACTCTCAGAGCGTTCGTGTACCTGAGCAACCTGCTGTACCCTGTGCCACTGGTGCACCGCGTTGCCATAGTAACGGAGAAGGGCGAGGTGCGTGGTTTCCTGCGTGTGGGGGTCCAGGCTATAGCCGGTGAGTAATTAATGAGATTAATGAGGCTATTCCTCATGCGCAGGCTACATCCTGCTCATCAGTCATTTGATATTGTCTTGTGAAGCAGACTAGTTTATTTTTTAAATATTTAAATCCCAAAATATATTTAATCCAAATCAAATAGCTAGATAAATAGTTCCAAATTTTATTTAGATTTCATTGTAGAACATTTTGAAGAGCCACAGATCTGGTGGCGGAGAGAGGGTCCCCTTGGATTCTCTGTGTTCCTTTTGTTGTGCTTTGGCAGCTGAAGTCGGCTGTGCCTGAGATGGATCCTGATAAAAGTATGGTTTGTCTCTTTGTAGCTGATGAGGAGGCCCCAGACTACGGGTCAGGAGTGAGACAGTCAGGAACCGCCAAGATCTCCTTTGATGATGAGTATTTCAAAAAGGTAAGCCCAGAGTCGCATGAAAGTAGTTTTTAACTTGAAGACGCACTTTTTTTTTTTTTTTTCTCTGTGTGACGGAGTTGGTGTATAATATTGGGTTAAAACGAGGAAGTTGTTTTTCTTTGGAGTTTTATACTGTTTATTCTATTTATTAAAAACAAATCTACATAAGAAATGGCAAATTGTCAGCCTTAATCCTTAATTCATCCAATGTGGCGCAATAATATATAAATGCATTTACAGGGGGAGATTAGTTTATTCCTTTTTCTCGCTGACCGCTACATACTAATGTATTCCTACTTTTGCATCTATCTCCTTTTCAACCAATCAGAATGACTTTTCTTCCACGGTTATGACCCACTCCGGCTTGTCCATGGAAGAGCTGCGCATTGTGGAGGGTCAGGGCCAGAGTTCAGAGGTCACCACACCCTCGGAGGAGCTCAACAGAATCAATGACATGGGTACGACCGCCAGACCTTCACCTCTCCGCTCGTAAATTTCGACCTCTCAGCCTAAAGGGGGACACACTTGGCAGATGGTCCTGTTGAATGCAAAGGAGGGCTTCAATTGTATAGTCATGGAAATAAGACTGACGCTGTTTTTCCTTACTTTGTGAAGGAATGTCTCTACAAATCACAAGCTTGATAATATGCGGAAACCAGTCTGATTGTATCGTGCAGAGCTTAGGATTCATATGCAGATTGCAATCGCAGGTGCGGCTCATTTTCAATAGATCTCAACTTAAGTCCTCATAACCTTCCCCTGTGTTTTCTTGGTAACATCGCAGACACCAAGCTGAGTTGTGGTGATGGTCTGGCAGGCCAGCTGGAGGTGGGCAGCATCTTTACCTTCCGTGTTACTGTGCTCCAGGCCAGTGGCATCCCGCCAGAGTACGCAGATATCTTCTGCCAATTCAAGTAAGTCCACAATCCTCAAAAATAGTTTGTGAAAAGCTAATCTTAATATCAAAGCTATACAGTTAAAAGAGCTTTACCGAGGGAGAAACTGATAAATAGCAATAGTGTTACTAAAGTATAAGTCATTTACATTTAGTCATTTTCTGACTATAGGTTTGAAAGTAGTTTGATTTTAGTTCACAAATCAAAATCAAATAGACAATTGAGACAGCTTCATCTTTAACATTTAAAGAAATATTCACCATGCCAATAGAGAATAAGAACTACAAGTTCTAACTCAATCTTAAGTGACACACTGACACTCATTCATCTTTCTTTCCATAGTTTCCTGCATCGTCATGATGAGGCTTTTTCCACTGAGCCTCTGAAGAACACTGGCAAAGGAGCTCCTCTGGGCTTTTACCACGTCCAGAATGTGAGGACACACACACACACACACACACACACAAACTATAGTTTAACAACTCTATGTTGATTCATTTTAACCCCCCCCACCCCCTTTTTTTTTTTTGACTGCAGGTTTCAGTTGAGGTCACAGAGTCCTTCATTGAGTACATCAAGACCAAGCCCATTGTGTTTGAAGTGTTCGGCCACTACCAGCAGCACCCGCTGCATTTTCATGGCCAGGAACTGATTAGGTTGGTGTGGTTACTAAAGACATGCTTCTGTAGAGATTCATCTGGATTACTTTAAAAAACATTTGTTGTTATGCTGTAATTATTCACATTTGGTACACAGATAGATTTAGTAAGAATTGGTTTCTGTATTAGAGGTTAATTGTACATTTATTTTAACAGTCCTCCAACACCGTCGAGGAAATACTACCCTATTCCCATGCCTCTGTCTAAACCAGGTAAGGATTTTAATGTCCTCACACCACGTACTGTAACAGCAATATGCTCTGCACCTGTCACCATCATTTCAGCATATTTCTTCTGTGCGTTATGGTTATATCAGCATGCCTCATATTTCCTTCCACTTTTTCATTTCTCGCTTCCTTTGGATTTTTTTTTTTCTCTTATTTAATCACTCTCACACCATCCATAATCCTCTTACCCAACTCCATCCTCCCTCTTCCACATTTCCCTTTTCACACGTCCCCTCCAATCTTTCTCACCATTCGTACAATATTATACACTGAAACCCCTAGACCATACCCGTAAGATAGAGTTAGTCCGCTACCTGATGAGTGGCTATGTGAACGTCAAAGTGCTGGACACGCTGTCCGAGCACGCCAACGCCCTGGCCTCCACTGCCGTGGCCAGTCTGGAGGATGAGGCTGACCAGCTCTCTCACTTCATCTTCCTCCCAGTGCCCAATGACCCTGTGCTAATTGTGCCCAGGCACCATGGTTGGTACAGCGGAGCCTGTAGTAGCTAAGGCATTAGATGCACCTGTGTTGTAGTGATTAGACTAGTGCTGTGCTTTGCTCATGTGGTACTCTGTGACTGCAGGCAGTAGCACCACAAAGCTCTGCAGTGGTTATGTGTGCTGCACATCGCTGCAGGCCTATTTAGGTTCAGTCAGCTCAGTCCATCCCTCCCCTGTCGCTTACAAACTGGCCTCAGCTGACACCTTCAGGTAAATCTGCTGCATATGCTGAATCTTAAGCCAAATAATAAAAAAAATGTATTTATCTTAATCATAGAGGATTACTGACAGACCGTAATATTCACAGCATAAATCAGAATCCAGAGGCTTAAGCCCTTTACAGGTTCAGCTGTAGTCCAATTACGATTGTTCTCATGTTCATTTCAACCATATTGAACACAAATGAATGTAGCTGTGTGCTTCAGAGATTAGCCTGTTTCAACAGGAACATAATCCTGACGTGTCAGACAGCAGGGTGTGGTGTAATCTGTGATTTAGCTCCTTATAGCATCTCAGTATGTGCAACTGTTGGGTTTGAATGTGTTCTATTGCCCGTTTTTTGTGTCCATCTTATTTCATTAATAACGGACTTTATGATTAACACGTCCTTTAAGTATTGGTATTACAGAATATGTGTGGGCTGAATGCTCAGTCCAGGGTCAGCAGTGTGTTCACATCACATCCAGCCTCCATTTAGTAATACAATCAATATAGTTAACATCTATCACTTATTTTCATTCATCCCCTCTGAAATTAATATAGAGCTTATGTGTGTGTATTTCAGTTCCAGCTACCAAGTTGAACACCATCACCAAGTCCAACCTGGGTCAATGCTGCAGCAAGTACGACCTGCTGGTCTGGTTTGAGATCAGTGAACTGGAGCCCACCGGAGAGTGAGTGTTCGTCTTATATTCACACACAGTTTCCTTTTAAAAAGACACATGATGTGAGATTGTGTAGTTTCAACTTAAAACATTTTTGGTGCATTATAATTGGTAAGTATAACATAAGAAGTATGACCTCCCTCCTTCTACAGGTACATCCCAGCTGTAGTGGATCACAGTGGAGGACTGGCCTGCAATGGCACCTACCTACTGCACCAGGTACTGGAGATCTACACAAGTCCTACCAATCACATACACTGATCACACATTTTATAAAGTCCGTTGCAATGCTCACACGCACAAAAGCAAAGGGAACGTCATAATTCCGTTCTTGTAATCCAGTAAATAATCTTTCTTCTTTACAAGAAACATCGAGAAGCTTAATTTAGTTCCAGCTGTGTCTACTATGATCCTAAGCTCCTGTCATGTGTGCTGCAGGGCATCCAGCGGAGGATCACTGTGACTCTCATCCATGAGAAGGGAAGCGAGCTCCACTGGAAGGACGTTCGCGAGCTTGTAGTGGGTGAGCATTGGGTGTCACTCGTTCAGCCAACATGCACCAGAGACACAAAACACTGATGTTTCACATTAGACGAGAAGAGCTGTTGCTGCATGATTGTTTCCTTATTCACACAGCAGAATCCGTTGATACCCTGACCATATGATACAACTGCTTCTATTGTCTCTAAGGAAGTTTAGTTTGAGAGGCAGCAGTGGAAATATTGGTCATAATTCCATTTTGTGTAGTTGTGTCTGTTTTGCCTCAGGCCGCCTCTCTCTTTAAGTAGTTCATACTGTGGCTGTAGCTGATGGACGAAATAATTACATTTCACATTTTACACTTTGAGCTGCTGACATTTTTAGCCAGAGAGGCTTGTGAATAAACAGGCATGTGTGTCTGGACACTGTGACAACATGGCTATTAAACTACACTGTGGCTGAGTTCATATACAAGGCATTTTTAATCCATGACAAGATGCTGATGCTGTGCTGCTGTATCCCATCAGGTCGGATCCGAAGCAAGACTGAAGTGGACGAAAGCGCTGCTGATGCTGTCCTATCCCTCAACATCATTTCTGCCAAGAACATCAAGTCGTCCCACAACTCCAACAGGTAGCCCACTGTACTTAATAAACCACATACTGTACATTCACTGGACACAACAGTTCAAGGTTTATATGGATTTATTGGTGCTAATAGGTTTGTTGCTGACATTCAGCCTGTTGGTCCAAGCCGAAAATATCAACTCGGTTATTATGTCAATTTTTTCATTATTGCCACATGTTGTCATTTACAGTTTGTAAACAGTATCAGGCAACAGCTTTGTATGTGTTGTTGTCCTAAAAAAAAGCTGAAGGCTCAGTGGAATCATTGCATGACTATTTCCATTTTCACTGCTGTTGATTTTCCTGTTAATTTGCTCCCTTGTCTCTGTTGCCTGACTCTGTGTGCTTCTCTCTTTTTGTTTGTGCACTCTCTCTCTCCTCCTGCTGCGGCTGGACTCTTGATTGTGCTCAGGCTTTCTATTGATAAGGATATTGATAGGTACCAGAGAACATAAGGCTCCTTCTGTGAAAGATCTTTATGCTTCTCTTTAGTCATATAGATTCATAGGAATAAGTTCTCCACAGTTTGTGTTTTTGTTGGCATGTTGCATTAGGTCTGCCTTTTATTTTCGTCAACATTTAGCATCTGAAAGAACGAATCTCATTCCAACTTATTTATGGACAAGTAAAGGCAATCTTACATGCAAATGCAAAACCCTTTTTTGTATTAGTTTGTATCACAGTATGTTGGTCTTGTGTGGCACCCAGACTCCAAATGAATGCTTTCTTCTCAGCTATTATTCACTGTGTGAGTCATAGCTCAATAACAACCAAGGCCATTGAGGCACCAACAAGGCAGCTCTGGCTCTCAGTCTGTAGGTAGGAGTGCCCCCTGCTGCCAAAGACAGGAACAGTGTAACTATCATTTGTACCATAGCGTAAACATGATATGCAGAACATGTAAACTTGATATTCTGCTTGCCGCTGTTTGGTTCACACACACACAGCTCGCTGCACTTGCCACAACACCTGACACCGTTAACTGCTGTGGCTTCTGATCTAGTTGTCTATTGTCGAGCTCTCACCTCAATGTGCTTCCACACATCTTGTCGTGACTAAGGATAAGTGTGAGGGCCACTGCACAATGTATACTGTCATAGTTGTATTCATCACATCAATTACAGAATGATATCTGACACACTGTGGTTATTTACAAAATGTGTCTAGTTTGTTTCTTTGCAGTAAGACTAGATCCTACACACACTGTTGTTAAAGCACCGTCTAGGACTTTACAGAAAATAACGCTATAGCGAGTTCATTTCTCTGTAATTTTGTTTATAAGTGAATATTTTTTGGGGTTTTCCCCTTCAGGACTTTTTACCGCTTCGAGGCAGTGTGGGACAGCTCCCTGCACAACTCCCTCCTGCTTAACCGAGTCACTCCTTATGGAGAGAAGATCTACATGACTCTGTCTGCATACTTGGAGGTCAGTCATTGCTCTTCTGTGTTTTACCTTTTTGCATTGAGCTCTAGGATTTACCTCTCTGTATGTCAATGTATCTAACATCTTCACTTTGTCTCCTCTTCACAGCTGGACCATTGCATCCAGCCTGCTATTATTACCAAAGACATCTGCATGGTCTTCTACTCCCGAGATGCAAAGATCTCCCCTCCCCGTTCCCTCAGGAACCTCTTTGGGAGTGGATACTCTAAATCCCCTGACTGGTAAGACTTCAGACTGCCGTACTGTGACAGCTGGATCATGTAATATGTCCAGTCCTCATAAAATGGAATTTCCTCTGCTACATTACAGCAATCGAGTCACTGGCATCTACGAGCTGAGCTTGTGCAAGATGTCTGACTCTGGAAGCCCAGGTGAGCAGTCGGCATCAAGAAATGTTTTAAGACAAGCCGCCCAGTTTATCAAGATTCCTCTGAGAGCTTTGTCCTGATGTGTAATTTTGTCCTGAACAGGGATGCAGCGGAGGAGGAGAAAGATTCTGGACACATCGGTGGCTTATGTGCGTGGAGAGGAAAACCTGGCCGGCTGGAGGCCCAGAGGAGACAGTCTCATCCTGGAGCACCAATGGGAGCTGGAGAAAATGGAGCAGCTGCATGAGGTGGGTCACACTGACCTGCAATCTTACATTAAAGAAAGCTCTTCGACCCCTTTTTTGACCTGACAAAGCTTTCACTTATCTCCCACTGTGTCCTTGTCTAATATCCCACTGAGAGAAAAAATACTCACTTTCCTCATACAAACTTTCATCCATGGAAACTGAAGTTGTACCTAACCTCGCCCCTGTCGTTCATCCAGGTGGAGAAGACCCGTCACCTGCTTCTGCTGAAGGAGAAGCTGGGAGACGATGCTCCCCTGGGAACAGCTCCCACCCCGAAGTCCCTGAGCGAGTTGCTATCCCCGAGCATGAGCACAGGCAGCCTGTCCACCTCCACCTCAATCTCCTCGCAGATCTCCAGCACCACCTTTGAAAGCGCCATCACGCCAAGCGAGAGCAGCGGTTATGACTCGGCCGACATCGAGAGCCTGGTGGATCGTGAGAAGGAGCTGGCCACTAAGGTAAGAGTAACTTGATGTGATGATTTATTCTTTGCAGCATAATTATCAACTGGTAGCAGCTGCCTCTCCTCCTCTGCTGTGAACAGATCAGTCCAATCTTTGTTTTCTTGTAGTGCCTGCGCCTTCTGACACATACCTTCAACAGTGAATACAACCAAGTGGTCAACAGTATTAGTGACTGCAAGGTGAGTAATGATAGAAAGAAACTCTAAGCTTTAAAAGTAGTTCATTCATGTACACTGTCAGGTATTGATTGATCTCAGTGCCCATATTCTGCAGAGATTTGTAGCAAATAGGCATCTACTTTTTGTCATTTAAGTTACTTTAGTATCAGCAGTGCACTCTCCAATAATCTATATTTTTCCTCTTGCAGTGTTTGCTTTGGAAAGTAAAACGGTGTGTTTAACAAGTATTTCATATTATTTTCCCCTCAGTTGTCTGACATCTCACCAATGGGTCGTGACCCATCAGTGACCAGCTTCAGCAGCGCCACTCTCACCCCCTCCTCCACCTGCCCTTCTCTGTCTGACTCCCGCTGTGGTTCCATGGACCAGAAGTAAAACTTTTATTTATTACATATTTTATGTTTAAATACAGTATCTATCAGTGTCCGTATAAAATATTGCAAGCTTACTTCCATACTCAAAACACTATTCATTATTTCAGATTGACTGTATTGGCAGGCTGTCACCATGACGCTAACTTGGTGTACTTTTTTTTCCTAAGGACCCCAGAGAACAGCTCCCGTGCCTCCAGTCCCTCCTGCTCGGACTATGAAAACTTCCCCATGGTTCCGACTTTGGAGTCCTCCTACCTTGCACGGGCTGGAAAAAACGAGTTCCTCAACTTGGTGCCTGATATTGAAGAAATGAGGCCAGGGTGAGTGCTGACATGTTAGCTCTTTTGCTGTTGCAGCAATGTCATTTAAAAAAAGTCAATATGAGATGCAGCCCAAAGAAAAATAGATAATCTCGTTTTCCAGTCCAAGCAGAAATTATGTGAATTGATTTCTGAATCTGGCGGTTTTCAACTGGAAGAAATCCTAATTTTAGTTTGTTGAAAAACAAGCACTCCCTTTTTTTTCTCCTTTTTAGATCGGTAGTTTCTAAGAAAGGTTTCCTAAGCTTCATGGAGCCGCGCTCCAACTCGTGGGTGAAGCACTTTGTGGTTGTGCGCCGGCCCTACGTCTTCATCTACAACAGCGACAAGGACCCGGTGGAGCGGGGTGTCCTCAATCTCTCCACAGCACAGGTGGAATACAGTGAAGACCAGCAGGCCATGCTCAAGGTAGAGTTTCAATTCATCAAGTGTATCAACAGATGAATAACTGAACACTCAGAGTAAATACCGGTGTATCCCTCGATAGGAGAAAACACTACATCAGGTTTTATCAGACTTTCACAAAAATGTGAAATAATGAGATAAACAACTTTCAAAAACTATTCTCCTTTAGCATCCTAAATGATGTAAAGATAGAATACATATGCAGCATGACACATATTTGGTGTTTTCTTTTCAGACTCCCAACACATTTGCTGTGTGCACAAAACATCGAGGAATCCTGCTGCAGGCCAACAACGAGAAAGACATGAACGACTGGCTGTATGCTTTTAACCCTCTGCTAGCAGGAACGATAAGGTACGCACACGCACTTCTCTTAGGGCGCTTTAACAAGCCAACAGTCATTTTAGTCATTTTAGTCATCAGCTCAACCCTTGGTGCATTTTGATTGGGCAGTTGTGAATGCATTAATCGCACGCTGGTGCGGACCAAAACAACAGGTCCGAGACCACTTGCAAGAGGTGATCGAGGACCGGTTTGCCGAGTGCGGTTAAATTATAGTGATACATAATCTTACCCAGTTGCAAGAAGTGAACCAAAACGCAGAGGATTGTAGGCTGCCTGCGCAGGCATTTGTTGAGATGCAAACAGGTAAACGACATGATTAACATGAGTGGAAGAGGACCGGTGTCGGCGGCACGGGAGGGGCCCAAAATAATTCTCAAAAAATTATGTTATAATAAACATAAAATATGACAAACATGTATTTATAAATGATACTATTCTATTGCTTTACGATGCAACCCATGGGGGGCTCGGACAGAAAGGGCTGAGCGAAGCCTTTGGATGCTGCATTATGCCCCCCCCAATGTTGAAATGAAACCTTCGCCTTCGTGTCATCCTTGGATATCTGTTGTAGCACTGACACTGGCAGAGAGCTGACTTTGGACTTCTGCAGAAGTGCAATATTGGTTGAAATCTTGGCAGAAAAGAACTTACAGAAAATGATAAAGTCCGCAGTAATAGTGAAATTTATGAAGTAATTAGAGGTGAACTGGAGGAGAAAGCATTCATGCTCACAGTACATCAGTGCTGACTCAACCTCAAAATGCCTTGGCCCTGCTCCTTTGTACAAGCCCCTCAGCAAATAGTTGCTTTTTAATTGTGCACTTTGAAACAGAACCAGACTCAATAGAAAACAAAAGTATTAATTTCACTCTGATTCGGACTAGTCGAACGGACTATGGCTTGTGAAAGCGCCCTCATGCTACCCTTAACAGGAAGCAACTCCACTTTCTTCAGTAAACTGACTTCTCTTCTCGTCACAAAATATAATCCTGTTCCCACAGATCTAAGCTGGCGAGGAGGCGCAGTGGCCTAATGAAGAACTGAGTGGCTTGACTGGCACACAGGAAACCACGGCTTCCACTCTTTCTGGCAAGCCTTTTGAACATACCAAGTGTTAACACTTATTAATCATTGTGATTCTTGACAGTTTTCTCTTGTAAGTAGACTTGTGGCTTAAGTCTCCTTTCATGCGACTAAAAGTTTCAGTTCCGGAGAAATTTGCCTCCCCTTCGCCCTCCAACAACCCTCTGTCAACTTAGCTTTCCTCCTCTCTATTTCTCTTCCCCTCCTCCTCCTCCTCAGCTTTTTGTGTTTTTGTTTTTATGACACTGTTTCGATCTATTTTTGTTCCGCTTTGTCGTCATTCCCTAACTCCCTAACTAGTAGCATGTTGTAATAGTCTACTTGTGTGTGCACGATTCTTCAGAAACTGTTCTTTCTGGCCACTAATTTTCATTTTTGCCAATCATCTGTAAAGAAATTGTCTCTATCCATGTCATTTGTTTGCCGAGAAGAGTTTGATTTCAATTTTTGGTCTTTGGTTTTGTTTTGTTTTTTAATTAAGATGCCTGCATGCTAACTGCAGCAGTCGTCAGGAGATGACCAGACCTGGTTTGCTTACTCAAAAAAACATGAAAACAAATCGGATAACTTACAGTTGAAACCATGAAGGTGAAATATACAAAAGCAACGCTACTTCAAGATCTATTGCTGCTAATGAATTAATAGTTTTTTCTTCTCTTCATGAGATTTGCATCAGGCCCCCCCGCCTCAAGCTCTCCTCTGCCGTCTTGTAAACGGCCTTAAGATACAAAATGTTAAGTCTGAAAAGCGTGTCCCAACTCGGCGAGACCTGAGGGCCGGGCTGGATTACAACGGTCATCCATGTGATGTCTAGATCCCACTCCTCAGTCCGTGCACATTCACTAACGCCAACCCTCGATAGTGCCGTCAGTCAAGCGATTACTTACAATCATGCATTTGTGTCAACATCCGAAATACATCATATCTCATCAGTGGAAATGTGACAATGGATTGTTCCTTCAGGAGTAGATATTTATCCCTGTACTTTTACTATTTCATCTAAAGAACAAACAAGGTTTCCAGGAGGAGGAGTAGGAGGAAGGACAGAATATGCTTTGTACATACAGTCTGTTCTGGTATCAGTGTCGTAGTTAACTCTCGTTCAAGACATTCCTCTCAGCTCCTCTAGCAGTTTTTCTTACACCAACTTGAGTTGAGCCTAATATTTAGTTCAGCCTGATATTTAGTTCAGCCATCACATGCATGTGATACCGAAGACAAAACAAAAAGTGTGAAATGGAAGGAAGAAGAAAGAGAGAGATTGAAGTTGCAATGCTCTAGCCTTGACGCCAGTAGATAATTGATGAAGCTGCTAGCACATAGCCTGCAGGACAGATAGTGAATAGTCTACCACATGACTCCCCCTCACTGTCATGATAGTGTTGGGTAAAATCTCTAAAAAGAAGTACTTACTGTTGTTCAGCAGCACCACAGGTCACCATTTTCTATTTGTGTTCTTGAATTTAAACTCATCTAACTCTCATTGGGTTGACATTTCTTTTTTTAATTATTAAAATAGTTTTTTTTTCTATTATGCTTTTAATCATTCCACAGTGACGTTTTATACAAAATGTAACCGGGCATTTATTTCTTTGTTGTAACCAGCTATATTGGTGTTAAACCTTATTTTGCACATTAACACATATCTATAGCAAGACGAGGGCAGATCACTCGTGTTTAGGTCATGATTATTTTTGATTATCAGGAACACTGTTAAGAGCACATATCAAGGCTACACTGGATAGCTGTTTATTAGAAAGAAAGAAGTGATATTTAACGGACGACATATACGGAAAGGTTTTATTTCTGATATTGTTTCTGAAAATATTTGCTCTGTACATCGTACTACAGATCTTACATTTGGCTCCTGATAGGTTATACCCCTGTTTCTTCAAATGGTAGAAGTGTGACGAGCACAGATGGGCATTAAAAAACGCTGGCCAACCAACCAGTAGTATGCCCACTCTATCATATGAAGGGGACATTAGGGTTGACGGTTTTGAAACGGAGGTAGCCATTGCCTGTTACAGATATTAGTGCAATTATTGGGGACATGTGTTCATCAGTTGCTGATGTAAAGACATGAAGAATATGCCTCAGACGTGAGAATGAGTGAGAATTGTGGAGCGTCACTGCCCTTGGGTCAGCCAACCTGCTGGTCAGAGAAACTGAAACCTGCTGAATTGTTTCTGAGAAAATGTTTCTCTCTTGTCAAGAAAGAATAATAAGAATAATAATAATGAAAAGCTATCTATGCACTGATCAAGGCTCTCAGTGCAACGTACCTCACATTAACCTCAGCGTATTGTGTGAGATACGTATCGATATGAAGACCCGTCAGAGCAAACATCTTCACGTCACTGACTAATTTGCAGAAGTATATTGTTTTGGATTGTGTATTTATTGTTTGCAATGTACATATTAGTTTGCAGCTCTTTGCACATATTAATAAAAGGTTCAACTAACTGATCAAATAAAGTCTGTGCGGTTTAGTTGTTCTACTCAGAGTGAACCAAATGATGGTGTGGCAGCCTCTTCCAGTCTGAACTGGGAGAGCGTAGAATGTACTATGAAGATGTTTTTTTCCATCGTTTAATTAAAAAAAGGAAAAAATAGAGCTTAAATGTAACCCGCTGCATCTTTTCCAGGGGAGGTGAGTTACATTAGAAAGTGGTTTGAGTGAAAGTCTGTTTTGGATTTGAAGAATATTTACTCACTACTCATGCTAGCCAGCCACTTGAATTAAAACAAAATTTAGGGTGGTTTTTAAGTCGTTTAATTTGTTTCTAATATCAGGGAATATAATATGAAGTAGCTAGTGACATCTAAAATGACAGTATACTATTGTTGTAATGGTGTCTTTCTTCACCTCAACACTTTGATTTTTTTTTTTTCCGTTGATGCCTTGCAAAACAAAACTAGCCATGGTAGTTTCCATCTTCCCCTCTGACAATTAATATCAGTTAACTGCGTTCCCTTTTGATTTGTCTACCAAAAGAAAAAAGACAAACCACAACATTTAACACTGTACATTATTTGTCAGACTGGTTTCATTTTCATACTTATTTTGTAAATATCTGTGTTGTATGGAGCTTGAATTAAAATGTAAATATGTTTACTGTATTTGTAATAATTATAATCCATTCGCTGTATAGCATAGATGTGTCATGCAGATCTCCTAATTCTGTGTATGGTAATCTTGCACCATTGAACTGTTTAGTGAATGAGGCAAAAATAAAAGTGCAAACTGTGCATTAGCAAAACAAGTGCAGCCTGTCTGTCGTCTCCTTTGTGCAGTTTGACTCCTTCTTGTGTTTTTACATGTTACAACTTCCTGATACCTGTGTGCTACCAAAGCACATCTATAACAGGACAACAAAACACAGATTAGATGTTGGGAATGAGGAAAACAAAAATACTCATGCTTAGTCAAACTTAATTATTACATAGGCCTAAATCAAAATTATGAAATCTGTATTGTTTTCCTCCTCCCTGCCTCTCATGCATGTTAAGACGTTCTGACATTAAACTGGTCTAGTGAAGTAATTTCCCTGTGAACTGCCACAGATTTCCAGTAATTGGAGGAAGAATTGAGGCTTGGCGTATGGTTTAGCTGTGTGAAATCACATACAGCATGGAAAGCAGACTGGCACTCCCATATAAATTAAAGATTACAACTGAGAAAGAGAGATTACATGCCATTGTTCCTTTCTGCATTTCATGACACATAATTAGGGCCCATCTCATAATCCATCCTTAATTACAACATAGTTCACTTATTTCTGTATTATACAGTATAACCTAATGCAAATGAATTTGTATGGAGATTAAAACAGTTTAAAAATAAACTCTTAATTGACACACTTGCTTTTTAATGAACTCGTACATTTGCAATATTTAATTCACAAAATCCAGTTAAATGTTTACTTTAATACTGCAAATTTCAGTGGTGGAAGAATCCTTAACTTAACCAAAAGTGCCGATACAACAGTGTAATCATATTCCACAAATTAAGTATGAACATTCAAATGTATTTATCTAACTGATTGATCAATCACAATCTAATAATGTCAAATGCAATGTGTAGAAGTATTATTCTACCGCTGCACATTTTGTTAGTCATTTTCTTTTCTCTAAAATCTTATATTTAAAATGAAACTTTTTAGTCAATTTTACCTCTTTGGGCAACGGACATATATGCCTTTTTAAATGAAATCACTCCTTGGTGGCTAACTATGAAGGTATATTTGTGTCTTTATTACGCAAACAAATGTTTTAAAAGCAAATTTCTTGCACTGCAATCAAAAATCAAGTTTGTAAGTGAAAATATATAAACTGAGAATAATTTGTTAGTTTTGCTTATGAAACTAGAATTTTTGGTTAAAAAAATAAAAACTTTGGTTAAAAAAATAAAATCTTTGGTTAAAAAAGATAAAATCTGGTTAAAAAAAAATATCTTTGATTAAAAAAATAAAATCTTTGGTTGGAAAAAAAAATATCTTTGAGAAAAGCTGGTTTCAAAACGAAGAGCTGAGCTGAGCTTGGATGTAGTGGGCGGGGCATATGCTCCCGTTGGTGTTTAGATGATGCAGATACCGAGAGCAAAGTCAAACCGACCAATAGAAACTCCTGGCACATTCAACAGCACGGGGGGGGGGGGGGGGGGGGGGG